ACTGAACCTGAACTGCATCCAGCACAACTTTTCCATTGCTAAATTGCTTTTCCTGTCCTACCAGGAGTAAAATTGGGAAAACGGAGGGGTGGAGAAAGAGAAGGGAGAGAAGAATGCAATTGGTTGTGTTCAAAGATACGTAAGTTAAATGTAACTACAGAAATACAAACTGCTAGAAAGCTCTCGAGGGGTTTTATGCCAGCACAGCTCTCGGCACTACCCCACTTCATATATAGGAATTCAAAGCAAATGAGAAAGGCCACCCATAGCCACGTGAAAAGCTTGCATCAGAGCTCAAAACTGAGCTGTACTCTACTGTATTTTCCTGTCATGGCTACAAGACTTGAACTGCTACTTGTCTTTTGAAGAAAAGCAAAAAGCCCTTCACCCTGCCCAACTGAGCCATTCAGCTGGTGATTCAGCCAAATGCTCACACATATGGCAAATACAGAGAAAAAATAGAAAGGATTTTCTGGGTCACTTGACTCCAGTCCCTTATCCTGTGATGTTACCAGGTCATAAATGGACTGTTTGTCAGGATGTTGGCATATGCTTTCAAAGAAGTGTACTTGTTTTAAACAAACTGCTTCTATGGACAGGCAGCTGTAGACTTTCCTGCATTAAAGATTAGGGACCTTTTTAAAATTTCTAATTATCAGTAAGACACACACTGGAATACATGTACATTGTGCTTGTGCCAAAACTGCTCTTTATCTGAAACAGCAGTCCACCTCTCCCTCCCTCCTTCCACAGTATTTATTCCCTTAGTATATTTATGGAGAACAACCCTCTCCCCTCTAAATGTACATTGAGCCTTTTCTTATATGAAACACAGTTTTCTCGCTGTACCAATCCCTCACTGCATATGTTCTTGTTAGAACCTCTGCTCTTGACATGTGCAATCACAGCTGTACATGGTGAAATGAAATAAGTAGTGGTGGCAGTGTAAAACAGCCAGCAACTATTGGAAATAGCTCACACAATAACATTCCGTGATCATATTTTCCTTCCTTGAAGGCTCCCCAACACTGATTGCTCATATTCATCCCATGTTCTGCTCAGATTCTTCTTTTGTTTTCCTTGACTGTTTCCGACTTAAGCACTTCTCATTTGTAGCAAAAATTCTTGTTACTGGCCCTTCAGGTCATAACCTTGTACTCTGTGCTATTAAATTTCATTCCATTTCTATTACTCTGGTCCCCAAGGTCAGTGAATCTTTTCTGAATGATATCCTATCCCCCTCCCTATTGGCAGCTCGGGTCATCAGATTTCATTAGTGCATTCCTACATTTTTATCGTAAAGGTGCCACTCATAAGTTTAAAGTTAGGCACATAGGTGCTGGTGTTTGCAGATGCCTTGATTAGGGGACTATATCACATAGAGAATTTGAAGTTTTAGTAAAAACAGCTCTGACTGAAGCAAGACATGGGTGGGAGGTAATAATTTACCCATC